TTATGTTTCAAATTTTTCTCAGTTTATTCCAAAAGTTAACTTCTATTTAAATTAGACAGAAAATGCCATAACAATTGTCACATAATATAAAAAGTATATTATTATATTGAAATTTAAATTTATATCATATATGTAAATTATATATAATAAAATATTAATATATTACTTGACTATCAATGTGTCATTTTCTGTTTATTTTTTAGCATAAATTAATTTTAAGAATAAATTGAAAAAAAAAATTGAAACATCAAGGGCTATGGTAGAAAAAAAAAACAAACTTTAATTGTTAATGGAAAAAAAATGACAAAATACAAAAAGAACAAAATGTAATTTACCCAATATAATAGTCAATACTTTATACAAATTTTCAGAGACAAAACATAAGAGCATCCACACCACTTCGTCAAAATTTTAGTCAAATTATAGTTTAAAAAAGCTATTTTACTAATTTAGCTAGTCACCTCTTTAGTACCGACTATATCAAACTCTCTATTCTAACTTAATCTTATTAAAATATTATTTTCTTATTAGGTTTGTTATTTTTCTTTTTTTTATTAAATTGATGAGTTACCAGCCAAACAATTCTTAAAAAAAAAAAACCTTGGCCGTTGACCGGCGGACATCCGCTAACAATAATCTCCGTGTTGTAGCAATGAACAGTACCACGCTTGTTGTAACGAGGTACTATAGCACTCGTAAATTAGTAATAAACAGTAACGAAGCTACTGCACGTCCATTTTTTATGAACAATATCACTAATTTAGTTAAAAAATAATCTTAACTACTTTAATACAGATGCTCTAAGCGAGCGATGCGGTTCATTCCATTTGATTTTTCATGTAACCTAGCATGTGGTTGTACTCATTTAAATATAAGGTAGGATAATCTGGCAAGAAATTATACTTTGCGCCAGAGGTACAAAGTCATGTGGTGTTTCAAATTGCATTTGATTAGTTAAAATTGTAGACTCCATCACTTTGGGGTCTCTTTTGAGGAGACAAATGAATAAGTGTCCAGGCTTAAATGGTGTGGAGCAATGCTCCAAGAGCACCCAATACCTTCTCTAATATGACAGTCAATTAGTGATAGGTAGCACGGTGTAAAATACTATTTAATCCGCTAAAATTGCACTGATCTGTATTAATTCACATCGCTCTATCCGCTAACTGCAATTTAAATTTTAAAATTTATAATCCGCATTTGAAACAGTTCCGTTTCGCTATAGTTAATACATATATATTTTTCAATCTATAATGAAATATCAAATTAAAAATAAGTGTGAAAGATATTTAATGTGTAAAATTTATTATTTATGAAAAATATTATGTAAAATTAATTTGTGTTATATATATATATATATATAATATTATACAAATTAATGTTATATATTATGCAAATACTTGATAATTGGTTAGAATATCTTTCAATCCATCAATCCGTCTAAAATCGCTCAAATCATAATTTATTAATCCGTCATTCAATTTATAATTTTACTCTCAAATCACTCGAATCACACCGTGCACCCCGCTGATGGTAGGGGAAAATGTTTGAGGGCTACAATTTTTGTAGCTTAAATGGTTCAAAATTGCCAAAACGACGTCGTTTTGGCAATTTTAAAGTTGTTTTGTACTCAAAACGACGTCGTTTTAACAATTTTGAGTCATTTGAGCCACAAAAATTGTAACTCTCAATCATTGCTGTTGGTTAGGTAAGAATAATCAAAAACTATAATTATTTTCTATCACTTCTCTCTCTAGAGTCAATTATTGGCAAGAACTCATTTGGGCACGTATAAATATTCAAAAACTGAATTTACTACTCCCTCCGTCCCAAAATATTAGTCCCTTATTCCATTTTTCATTGTCCCAAAATATTAGTCCCTCTTCAAAAATCAAGTACAAAAATAATATAAATTTCCTATTTTACCCTTCTTTTAAATTAATAAACAACAAGAGCGATTCAATCCGTTTAATGGCGATAAATCTGGGCCAATCGATTCTTGGACTTGAGATGAATTCGGGCCCACTAATCTTGGGCTATTGGGCCTAAATAATTTAGTGGGCTCAAATTAGCCCCTCTTACACTCTCAAATCACTCGAATCACATCGTGCACCCCGCTGATGGTAGGGGAAAATGTTTGAGGGCTACAATTTTTGTAGCTCAAATGGCTCAAAATTGCCAAAACGACGTCGTTTTAACAATTTTGAGCCATTTGAACCACAAAAATTGTGACTCTCAATCATTGCTGTTGGTTAGGTAAGAATAATCAAAAACTATAATTATTTTCTATCACTTCTCTCCCTAGAGTCAATTATTGGCAAGAACTCATTTGGGCACGTATAAATATTCAAAAACTGAATTTACTAGTAAAATTTATCATATTTTTCTGGGTAATATGTATTTGGTGAAAATTGAATTAATTTAGTATATGATTTAAATATAAAATAATGATTGATTTTGTGGATAAAATTTATGAAATTGTAATATTACCGAACTCAAAAACTAGAATCTTAAGAATAATTTTTTGGGTCATGCTCCGGAGCTCTAATTAGAGCTGCAACAGTGCAGCTCTAATGAGCTGTCACCCATTAAAAAAAAAATAGTGAAATAAAAGACAAAAAAAAAGAGAAGAAAAAAATAAATTAATGCTCTATTAGAACTATTTTTTTAAAGGTCTAAATCATTTTTGTAATTTTTTATCATCTCTGTGAACCAGACCATGATTCCCAGACCTGGGCATGACAACATAGCACAAAATCCAACAAGCGCTACTATTTTATCACTTCAAAAGCAAAGTCAGAGTGATAAGTCAAATAATATAAAAAGACTTACATATACCAACCACACTTACATATGTGTGATTAAAATTTAGGTCCAGTTTGGCAACACCAAAATAATTTATCTTTTTATTTTTTTTTATCATATTATTTTTTTATTTTTTTGTACATCTTTGCATAAAAAGATAAAAAATATACTTATTTAGGTCATCCCAAACAACCACTTACATTCACATGCATAGAAGTCAGTAAAAAGTCAATTTTTAATTTTTTATTAATTTTGAGTGATACCATTTCTCACATAAATTACTTATAAAAAGATAAAATAAGTTAAAAAAATTAAAAAGTCAACTTTTTACCAACTTTTTAAAACACCCCATAGTAAATAAATATAAGGTAAACTACACTGACACCCTCTGAGATTTATGTTTATTTCAGCTTCCCCTCTCACCTTTTCAAAATTACATCATCCCCCTGAGGTTTAAAGTTTCATTACAGATTTCCCTTTTCAGTAATTTAATTTTTTTAAATACCAATTTTTCCCTCATTGGATAAATTACATTGACACCCCTCATATTTTAGAAATTACAATCTCCTCCCTAAGGTTTAAAAGTAGCATTACCAATTGCCCCCTTGATTAGTATTAGTTGAAAAAAAAATCATTGAAAAAAAAATTAATTGAAAAAAACAATTATTTGAAAAAAAAAATTGTTAGTAAAGTTTTTAAATTTCTATTTAAAAACTAACGTAAGCTCGTTTTTTGAATTTACGTTTTTTCCTTAAATTTACAGACTGAGACAACTATTTATAAACCAAAAAAATTATCAAACAAATTTTTATAACAGTTTTTAAAAAAAATTATAAATATAAATTGAAAACTAAAAACGAAATGGTTACCAAACAGGCTTGATGGTAAAAATGTTGTTAAATTAACAAATAATTAAATAAGTTACCAACGTAAAAAATGACTTATCAAAAGATTTTTAGGCTATGTATGGTTTGATTTTTAGAAATTTTTTTAAAAAATTAAAAATTAATTTGGTTAAGAAATAAAAAATAAAAAATAATTATCATTTAAGAGTAAAAAATAGTTATCATTTTAACTTTTGGACAGGTTATATACATACGTATGGCTGTTTCAATTTAATTTGTAAAAAATTATTTCTAACCACTCGAAAGATAAAAATTATATAAAAATGATAATTATTTTTTATTTCTTATCCAAATTAATTTTTAATTTTTAAAAACAAATTCTAAAAATCAAGCCATACATAGTCTAAGAATTTTTTGATAAATCATTTCTTACGTTGATAACTTATTTAATTATTTGTTAATTTTATGACGTTTTTACCATCAAACCTGTTTGGTAACCATTTCGTTTTCAGTTTTCAATTTGTATTTACAAAAATTTTAAAAACTGTCATAAAAACTTGTTTGATATTTTTTTTGTTTATAAATGGTTTTCTCAGTTTGTAAATTTGAGACAAAAATGTAAATTCAAAAAATGAGTTTATGTTGGTTTTTAAACAAAAATTTAAAAACTTTACTAACAAAAAAAATTTCAATTAATTTTTTTTCCAATTAATTTTTTTGTCAATGAATTTTTTTTCCAACTAATACTAACTAAGGGGGCAATTGGTAATGCTACTTTAAACTTTAGAGAGGGGATTGTAATTTTTAAAATGTGAGGGGTGTCGATATAATTTACCCAATGAGGGCAAAATTAATATTTAAAAAAATTAAACTGCTGAAGGAGAAATCTGTAATGAAACTTTAAACCTCAGGTGGAGAGATGTAATTTTCAAAAAGTGAATGGAAAACTGTAATAAACATAAACCTCAGGGGTGTCAGTGTAATTTACCCATAAATATATATATACAATGACGGATAGGGAGGAGACCGCCGTACCCCCAAAAAAATTTAAAAATATCATATATTATATTAAAATTTTTAAAATTACTTCAAATTATAGGAGTTTGTATCCCTAAATTTTTTTATAAATAATTTCAAAATTATATAGAATAGTCTCCAATTTTTTAAACTATAGAATAGTCCCTCCAAAAACACAATCCTAGATTTGTCCCTATATATATATATATATTTCATATTCCCGCATGTCCATATCCTAGTTTTTCAAAACTACCATGTTAAAACTACATCATATGACAAAAACTAGAACAAATGCAGAACATTTCACAGCAGATATCTCAATAATAGAAACACTGAAAGTAACTGTTTCAACTTTCACACTATGCTTAAAATAGTTGAAACAACACAAATATGTATTGTAGGAATAAAGGAATATACACCACCGGTATCAATTCCCAAATTTCCAAAAAATAGTTTTAGCCAGAAAGCTGTAGATGATTTACAATTTATTTTGGACAAAAAAACAAAACAAGATCACTTAAATTCAATTAACAAGAAGTTTACAATAACAGTGCGAAAAGCATGATTCACATTCAAGATAGTTGAAGATTATGATACGCTTACTTTTTATTTGGTCTTCCAACTCTTCGAAATTCTCCACGAAGCGAATAGGAGTACTCTTTTATGAAGCAATTGAAGAATCAACCAACTGAAAGACTCAATGCCGGTTCTTATTATTGCGAATATCAGATCCTAAGAAGGCCCTCCGAGCAGGAAAATGCCACCATTTGGCAAAACCAGAACGCAGATGAGGCTGAAATTTTTTGCTGCAAGAATTTCCCTCTTTGTCATAAAGAATAGTGTAATTCGAGCTTGTCACAAATCTAAAATAGCATAATTCACTACCATCATATTGGTATGCTTGTTGTGTACTCCCTAATCCGCTAATCACCAAGTGGCCCTTTACAAGAATGACACCCTGCCCATCCTGCAAATTTTTTAAAGAACTTACCAAGAATCCAAAATCACCAGCCCTAACCCTCTCCTCATTAAAACCCAATGTTAGATTCGCTACCGAACTGTAAGTTCCATTTCCATGGTCCACAATGTCGGAGTAAAGGTAAAGGGGAAACCTTTTAAACGATTTGATTGAATACGTAAAAGAAGATGGCGCATTGGCATAGACGGTGTCGTTAAAATCAATCATCTGATTCACAATCTGCAAATTCCCATCCTTCCCCATCACCATAAAGTTACTGTAATTGAACGATTGAGTTGAATTGGTTGTGATCTTCCCGTGGGATGACCTCACCCATCCAATCGATGATACAGACCTGGTAGCAGTAGTCAAGAAATTTCCATTTAGACCTGTGAAATTTGTCACCGAGGTAATAACAGGAGGCAAGCTATTGTGACTCAAAAGCTTTCCCTCCGTTTTCACACTCTTCTTGTCCAACCAAACGTGCAAATTCGCGTCTATGTACCACACATTCAAAGCGTTCGTGACACTAAATCCAAACTTATGGGTCTTTCCATCTAGAATCATTCCCAAAAATGGAGTGATTTCAATATCATAAGAAGGGAGATCGAAAGATCCAATACCAGAAATAGGTCTCCATAGGAGGGGATTGACTCCCCCGGTATAAATCACAGTAAAAGGCCAAACAGCACCAACTGTCATACCATCCAAACTAACCACAACCTCCCTAAAAGCCCCATTCCCGGGCAAATCAGTGAGGTTATTCGCATCAATATACTCATCCGGTACATTCGTATACCAAAATTCATCTTTCTCATGAAAAGAAACATAAACCTCCAACACAGCCCTGTATGCATTTTGGGGAATATCAAACATCTTCGATTGTAAATCATCTGAATTCTGAATTTCAAACCACAACCCATCATTCAATGGTAAATTTCTTGAAATAGGCAAAATCAAATCAGCCCCAGGACCAAACCCATTAACCCAATTACCCAAATTTGACTCATAAGAATACCCATTAACAGAATTACTACTATGTACTTCTTGAGCAGGATAGAAATGGAAAGTTAAATTCACAGAGTACACACCAGTGTAAGTAGTATCAACAAGGTTACCAAGATAAACAGCAAGTGTTTGATTAGTCATTAACAATGAATAATACTTGGAAACATCTTTCTTCACGGTCCAATCGATTCCAGTGCGTCTCGGCTCCGCAGTGCAGCTCCGGAGAAGCTCAACGCCGCCGAGCCAAATCCCGAAAATTCGATCGAATTGTCTACCCTTACATGTTGCTGTCCATTGGAGGACGATTTTGGAGAAATTATGAGATGGGCAATTGGAAGGAGGAGTGTAATTGGCGAGAACTGGTGGTTTTCCATACGTGTAGCCGAATTCATGGTTGAGGACAAGGTTTGAGCAAGGTTTTGTGTCGGGTAGTTTGATGGGTTTTGTGACTTCGAAGTAATTGGTTAGTGGGGGATCAATGTTAAATTCAGTAAAAACAAAAAAACACGGAAGAGGGTTGGTCTGTGGTGGATGTTTGCGGTAGTAGAGAGAGGTTGGTGGAGGAGGAAGAGAGAGAAAATGAGGAGGAGAGAGAGAGCCATGAGTGGTGGACTGGACTGGTTGTTGAGTTGTGGATGTGGTGTTGCTTTGCTTTGTGAGAGAGAGAGAGAGAGAGAGAGACGATTACTACTAGGTTTTGGAGTGAAAAACAATGCTTCAAGAGATCGAAAGTTCAGTATGTGTGTCTGTGTGAAGAAAACATAGGGATTTGATTACATAATTTGGATGGTTAGGCAACTTTTTGAATAATGTTATTTGTACTAATTAATATATTAATTAATATATTAACAGATGACATAATATAATTTTAGAAATTTTAGATATTTATAATTTGTGTAATAGATAGAATCAATAACGATGACATAACACTAATTAATATATTAATATATATATTAATAAATACATGTAACTACTATACTTTAGTTTTAGTCAAAAATTTATTATAGATTAGCATATCATTCTTTTTATTTTTTAAATACATTTTAAAAAAATAAAAAAAAATTAAAGTAACTTGTTCACACGCTACACAAATAATGTAGTAGTAATCAGTGTGTTTGGTTTGAGTTTTTTCAATTGAATTTTTTAAAAATTCAATTTTTTGGTTTTTGTGTTTTTTTTTTTTAGTGAATATTTTTAAAATTTTAAACATTTTTTTACTTTTTTAGATGCACCTTACTTAGATGTATCTAAAAAGTAAAAAATTTGTGAAAAAATATTTTAAAAATTTAATAAATACATAAATATATAAAAAATATACTGAATTCTCATATTTTTTTTATATTTTTGGTATTTAGTGAATTTTTAAAAGGTTTTTTCACAAATTTTTTATTTTTTAAGTATATTTATGTTAGGTATGTTTAAAAAGTAAAAAAAAATTGCTTAAAATATTAAAAAAATTCAGTAAAAACAAAAAAACATAAAAAATAAAGGGCAAATTACATATACACCCCTCCAGGTTTGACAAAATTACAGATACCCCCCTGAGGTTTGAGAAATTACGAATTCCCCCCTGAATGCTATATTTGCATAAGAAATTAGGGGGTAATTTGTTATGAAATATAAACCTCAGGGGGTAAATTGTTATGAAAATACAAACCTCAGGGGGCGGGATGTAATTTCCGAAACCTCAGGGGGTATCTGTAATTTAATCAAACCTGGAGGGGTGTATATGTAATTTGCCCAAAAATAAAAAAGTAAAATTTTCTGAAAAGTATTTTTGAAAAAACACAACTAAGCAAGCTGAATAGTTTCAAAATCTTGGGAAGAAAGTAATAATTGACATTAACTACCTTTATTTGTATGGTATAATGAACAAAAATAAAAAAAATAAATGCTAACTAGTATTTCTATGTATTGTTTAATATTAAAAAGTGTGTATAAAATGTCTTAAAAATATATAAAAATATTAAAAAGTATATTAATTTCAAGAAAAATACATTTAATTTACTAAAAAGTATTTTATATTCTTTAATTTTTTTGTCATTTACTTATGGCCTAAAGGCAATTGCTAGTAGGACCCATAAAAAAATAATAATAATGATATATATATTACATGATTTTAGAAATTTTTGATATTTGTAATTTATCTAATGGGTGGGATCAATAATAATGTTATAATATATATTGGTACATTAATTGATGCCTATAATCCCACTGAAAAAATAATAATTGATACTAATAACTTTTACTTGTATTGGGACAGCGAACAAAAGTAGAAATAAGTGAAGCAAATAAATGTAATATATTTCTTTTAAAATCTTGTTAACAAGTGTCCACAGGCATAAAAAAAGATAAATTATATGTAAGTTTCGAGATATTTATTATTAAGTTTAATAGATTTTTTTTTATAAATTTTGAAATATTTTATAAAATTTTTACACGTATTTTTTCAATATTAACAAGTATCGTGTCTTAAAAATATCCCATTATTGGGATAGAAAATTGGCAATAAAATTAGGAAAAATTACTCATAAATCCCATTTTAGTAAAGGCTACTCTAGTTAGTCCGAAGTGTTTTTTCTTAAACCATTTAATCCTTTTTATTTTTGATATAATATATATTTTTGATATATTGTATATGAAATTTACATTTTTACCCATATTGACTTTATTTTGCAGGTCTCCCAATCTCTCCACCACCCAAATCCCAAATTCCTTCCTCGACGAACCCAGCTGATGATGCGAAAGTAGCCCTAACCGTGGTCTCATTTCTCGTCCCCTAGACGAACGGCGCGACGGTGGTATCGGAGAGAGGCTGCTCTCCATAGAAGACGGTGGCGGAGATGTCGTCGTAGTAGAGAGTGATCTTGCGGTTAGGGTTCCAGGCGGTGAAGCCGACGTCCCAATTGGCGAAGATCGAGGAAGAAGAAATACTGAAATTAGAGAGAGAGAGAGAGAGAGTCGACCTGGAATTTCGGGAGGCGAGGGCGGAGGATGAGCCAGACGATGAAGACGATGGTGGCGGCGATAATGAAGGCGATGGTGGCGGCGATGATGAAGGAGGCGATTAGAATGCCGAAGAGGCGGCGGAGGAAGGTGGCGAGTAGGTCGGGATAGGGCTGCACGTAATAATCAGCGGCTTGAGGAGGTGGAGCGGCGTAGGGATAGGAGGCGCCGGCGGCGGGGTAGCCGTTAGTGTTGTTGCCGGATTGCGGCGAATGGTGGGGATACCCTGCGACAGGGTAACCTGTGACTGGTCTTGACTAATCTGCCATTCGATATAGAACATTTTTTCAGTACACACACAGACAAAGCAATACAGAGAGAGAGAGAGAGTCTGCAAATTGGGAGATCTGCCATTAATGTCGATGATGTTTGATGTTCACCATGTTTGATAAATAATGTTGAAGATGTAATTGATGTTGGTGATGTTGAAGAATAATGTTGAAGATGTAGTTGACGTTGGAGAATAATGTTTGATGAATAATGTTGAAGATGTAGTTGATGTTGGTAATGTTAGTTGGTGATGTTTGATGAATAATGTTGAAGATGTAGTTGATGTTGGTGATGTTGAAGGATAATGTTGAAGATGTAGTTGACGTTGGAGAATAATGTTTGATGAATGATGTTGGAGAATAATGTTGAAGATGTAGTTGATGTTGGTGATGTTTGATGTTCACAATGTTTGATGAATAATGTTGAAGATGTAGTGATGTTGGTGATGTTTGATGTTTGATGACGTTGCTGATGTTTGATAATGTAGTTGATGTTTGTTTATGTTCAAAAAGTAGGGAAATCATAAAAAGGCCTATAGTAAGTTTTTTGAGTATTTTTATCATTACAACATTAGTAAAAACTTACATGTATCCTCCATCAAAAAAATATTACGTGTTAAATAAATAGGTATATACGTAATTAACATTCAAATAGAACTTATTAGTCTATAAAATAAAAGACAGGACCAAATAATTTAACAAATTAAGATTTGAGATTTATTGATATTTTGCCCATAAAATTATCTGACTATGCAATGTACATGTAGTGTAAAAAATGATAATAATAATAATAATATTAATAATAATAATAATAATAAACGATCACTTGAGAGAGCTCTGCCAACCGATAAAAGTTTGTGCAATTGTTTTTAATTTAGGTCTGGTTTGGCATGTTTAAAAAAAATCAAAAAGTTAAAAAGTCACTATCCTATTTAAGGTTAAGTTTGGCATAATTGAAAAAAGATAAAATGTCAAAAAGTCACTATCCTATTTAAGTCACATCATCTTATTTAAGTCACATCACCTCTCTAACACATCACTTCAAACCTAACCCAAACACAACCCAAACCCAACCCATATTTTATAAAAAGTCAAAAAGTGCACTTATTTAGTCTTCCCAAACTAGGCCTATGTCACATCATCTTATTTAAGTCACATCACCTTTCTAACACATCACTTCAAACCCAACTCATATTTCATAAAAAGTCAAAAAGTGCACTTATTTAAGACATCCCAAACAACCCCTTAATTTTACGTACTTTATCTCATTATTTTTATAACATGTTAATTTTAATTAAAAGAAAAAAAATAGCTGGAAATTATTTTTGTTTGGTTGAATTTTTAAAATTTATTTTGAAAAATTAGAAATTAATTTGACAAAAATAAATACAAAAAAATATGTTTTTAAATTTTTAAAAGTTACGTTTTTACCAGGAAAAAGTCATATAAAGAAGGTGAAAATGAATGTGAGAGAGAGGGAGAGGGGGAAAGGCTACAATGAAGGGAAAGCAACAAAGGTGTTTTCGTCTTATTATAAAAAAATATTATTTAATTTAGACAATTTTTAAATTTTACTGTTTTCTATATTAAATAATTGTACCTCCGTAATGGCTCATTGATATATTTGTTAGGGCACAAGTTAACAAAAGTCATTTTGACAATAAAAAATTGTTAACAAATGCACTTATTAAGAATGGAAAATATATTGCTTCATAATTCAAAATTTTGAAGGTTCGAGTAGCCCGAATACCAAAATAACGTCGTTTTGGCCTCTTTTTTTTTTCTTCCTCTCTTTTCTTTCTGAAACAGAGAGGGGAAGAAGAAAGAGGGAGGAAGAGAGAAGAGGGAGAGGGAACAGAGCACCCACCGGTGCCGCCATCACCGTTGCAAATCCCTTCACCCACCAGCGCCGCCATCACCATCGCCCATTGCGACCCTCTTCCTTGTGTATACATACATAGATCTATGTATATATATCTCTCTCTCTCTCTGTTCTCCCTCTCTTCTTTTCTTCTTCCTCATCTCCTTATTTTCTCCTTATTCTTTCTATTCTCCTCTCAATCTCTTCTGTTCTTTCTCTTTTCTTTTCTTTTCCTTTCTCTTCTTTCTTCTTCTTTTTTCTTCTTTTTTCTTTCTAGATTGTTGGCCGGCTGGAAGAGGAAGGAAAAAGAGAGGGGGAGGAAAAAGAAAAAAAAATGATT